GTAAGCATTAGGCATTGCTTTTTAAAAAAAATAAATAAAGGAAAAAAAAAACTTAACCAAATTATATTATATATATATTGTTCTGAATAGCTTAACAAAATAACTAGACCATAATTAGTGAATTTTCTTGAAATTACAATAAAACAGATTAGTAAAAGAACTTGAAAATAAATTTTTTATTTACCACTTTCTCTATTATTTCAACCATCAAGCCCAGTTTGACACCAAACTAGATCGTTATCGTATTTCACCGCAAACACTGAAACTGCACCCACTTCAAGAGTGATAAATAAAGATACAAAATAATTTACTTTTTGACATCTTAAATAGCGAACGGGTGTAGACAATCGGAATTCTACAGTTGATTTTTGTAAGGATGACCATTGACAACCTATTAGACCCGCAAGCAAAAACAAGAAAGGAAGTATGACGTAAAGTCCTTGATATCGATGTGGTGCTAACCGTAAGCACTCTGATGCTCAAATCAGCATGATTGAAAGAGACTTAAGTAAGCATGGAATGGATTAACTCATAGAATGGGTTGGCCGTAGAGCGGACTAACTTATAGAATGAGCCACCTTGTAGAGTGGACCTTCTAGGAGATGAGTTTTGATGTAGAGCCAACCGTTTGTGGGCCATGGTGCAGAGCCAATTGCAATTGGGTCTGATTTGGGCCTGATCTAAGCCCAAAACGGATTTTTGCCCATACAGCAGGGTTAATGAAGAAATAGGTGGAGTCCTGAGAACACTACTATAATATTAATTCAAGGATATTATCAATTAGGATACAAACTTTTCAAACTTTATCAATGAGAGGATAGAAATTATAATTTGTTCAATTAGGGGACACCTAAGGCCATTAACTTTAACGAAAAATGATGAAATGACTTAGATGCCCTTGATTTTTGTTAAAGTGAATTTAGTCCTTAAAACCTAAATTTTAAAAATTCCAAAAAACTAAAAAAAAAAAAACCAATTTTTTTTTCAAAGGAAATGAAAAAAAAAAAAAGATTAAGAAATTTAAAACTAAAAGAAAATTTAATAAAAAAATATTATTATTTATTTTGTAAAAACGGATAATTTAATTCTTTTATTTTAGTTTTTTAATTTGATGATTATTTATTTTGTGAAAAAGGATAATTTAAATTTGTTCAGTTGCATCTTTACCCTTATATAAAGTTTAATCTAACCCTAAGTAATGTTCATTGTCCCTTAATTGAATAATTTATAATTTCTGTCCTCCTATTGATAAAATCTGAAAAGTTTGTACCCTAAAAAAATTATCTCTATTTTTCACTTTAGACTTATAGATCTTATAATACCCAAAAAGCCTTTTTTAGTAGAGTTACTTTTTTTTTTGCCACCTTAGTTTTGCCGAATCAGTAGATGGTACCCCTTGAATGCCCAAACTGCAAATACACACCCAAAATGCAACCCCATTTCCAACTTATCTAATGACCTAGATACCCTTGACCATTTAAGTAATTACTAAAAAGGTTTGACTCTTTGACTTTAGGGTTAAATTTTTTGGACATGTGGCAAACGGTAGGTTTAAGGTTTCAATGACGGGATATGACCGTTATGCCTTTCTATCATCACCTTTTTTTAACAGAGCCTGCGAATCTGGTGTTTTATGAGAACTCGATTTCCATTAACAGAGTTGCATTTTTTTGTGTATATTTGTAGTTTAGACATTTAAAGTGTACCAACTATATATTCGGCAAAGCTAGGGTGGGTTCAAGGGAAGATGCATCTCGTGTGGAGGCGGAGGTAGAAGCACCATTTTGGGGGAAAAGAAGGCTGTGTCCGCTCCTTGGGGCTAGCTGGTGGAAGCACTATTGGCATTGGAGCTAGAACTTCAAGTGAAATTGCAGAAAATTCCTATTAGTATATAGTATATTCAAGAAGGGGAAAATGAGGGGTTAAAGTTCAGCATTACCTCGACATAGAGTCAAAGGAGGCACAGAGATGAAGCAATTTGAAAATGGCAATAAATTGGAGCGTTTAAAAGAGGAATATTGGATGATGCCAACACCGAGCACAAACAGCTATACCGGCTTGGACAACTTGAGTAAGGGGTTTGCAGCAAATTTCAATGGAAATTTATTGCCTTGATTCAAGCATTGTAGCAGATTGATACCCTCAATAGGGCACCCTGGAATTTGGCTGTTGATCTTAGGATAAGCCAGAGCTCCAAGACTAGAATACAAGCAGTTTGTTGAAACTACTCCCTTTAATTTCATGATGCAAATGTAAATTGACTTAATAATCACTGCAGATATTTATGCCTGTGCAATAGGGTTCGTTTGGCATGTTTTAGAGCATTCACAAATCTTTCCTACAACGCCCTTATAATTCTTTCTTCTTCTTTAAACTCATTTTTGATAGCATCTTTTCTAGGGATAATAATCAGCAACAGCAATTCCCAATCTACAAGAACCTTTTCTCTTTTCTTCTGGTGATTTCAGTAACGTGTGTTACTTTTTCATGTCTCAAGAGTCCTCAAAAACATCATAAATACTTATTTTCCAAACTGAACTTAAAGGGAATATTAATGTTGAAAAACAATAAAGAAAAAAAAAGCATGATTAGGGTTGGTGGATTGGGATCAGTCATGCAGATTGAGAGAAGTCATGAACTGTGAAGGTACATCAACAACAATTTCTTAACAGATGGAGGCTTCAATTTGATGACTGGGGGCATGAGTATGGAATGAAATGGAAAGGGTTGAATCTTCATGAGCCCATTTCTAGTCATGTAATGAGTTTGTTCTAGAATTTGGCCCAGAATTAAATTATTATGAAATAATATACACGTACAAATATCGTATACAAGAATTTGCAAACAAGTCGATAATATTTGGCGTATTATTTGATATTGATTGACTAAAGTTCAGTGATAAAAAAAAAAAAAAAAATGTGTTCAATAGTCTATAACAATTTTTTTCTGCAAAATCATAACCTGGCCAAGGTGAACAATAAAAAACCATTTATAAAGAATTCCGAGATCTTATTAGGAATCCATAATCTGTCACAAACAGTAAAAAAGCTTCTTCATATATAAATAAATAGATAACTATTTCATATCATACTTACAAGCAATGTAACAAAACTACAGGCATATTTATAAATAATCACTCAATATGGAATTTGAGCTAGCCCAAACAATAATCACACCACCAAAAGAATATTCTCAATGTTTTAAGTACATAAATGGATATGCAAAGGCAGAGACCTAGTATACTTCTAATTAAAAATCTACTGCAAATAGCAGAAGAGATGGCGAAAATTAGGGAGGGCATGGCAGCTATGGTAGTCAGAACAGGGCGGCTCCCGGAGTCACAGTGGGGGCTGTAGGATCCACATCTGTCGATGGTGGATTAATGTTGGTGTTGTGTCTGATTCTGGTGCTGTAGCGATGGTGTAGGCTCAGGAACAACAGTACCTGCAGAGACAAATCAATACTTTTAATATAATAAAAAGGAACTTCAGAAACACTAAACACTCAAAAGGGTAAATTAATTGTGCCAGGAAAAGCCATAGCTGTGATTATGTACTTAAAGAGGTAAAGTTTACCTGTTGACTTGCAGATGGTGGTGCTCCAAATGAGGAAGGACCTGCAAATTAGTAACCAAAATGATAAGCCTATTTGATTCACCAAGACATTTTAATTTGCAGAACATTTTGATTATGTGGTCTTTTATAAGTATCAAAATGATTATAGAAGATACCTGGAGCAGGATAGGTGCACCAGTGGCTGCAAGCAAAGAAAATTTACATTAGCATTTTGTTGGTATTAAAAAGGGTCTAAAAATAAACCCTTGAACTCATTAATATGTAAGAAAATTCATTTGCATTGAAGAGGGACACCAGGCATGTTACAAGCTCGGGGGAGAGAGATGGCCAAGGTTCGGTTGATGGTAGCTGGAGTGGGATATTCCTGTTACAATGAGCAGTTACAGTCCATGCTATTACTTGTAAGCGACTTGAGGCATTGCAACAATCGCGAGTCGCGAAGTACCATTGGTGGTACTATTCGTCAGGAAATTCATCAAGGGCTGAAGCTAGAAATCAGTGAAGCGTGCACGGCGTAGCCACCTGCCCATAACAGGCAAGATGAGACCACAAAAGCTAAGCCCAGAAATGGAAGTGCGTTGGAAAGACAAGGAGAGCTCCATGATACTTTATGTGGAATGTAAAAGGATGTCGAAAAGAAGTAAAGTGATTGGATTGTTGGAGTTGTGGTGATTGGGAAAGAGAAAAGAATGAAGGAATTTATAGATGAAAGATTTAGGTTGGGAGGGTGAGGGAAACTAGGTGGATTTCAAGTTGGTCTGGAGTTCAACTACCTTAACTAATTTTGTGACAAGGAGGTTGAGCAGTTAGCCATTGGCTGCTGCTCGGAACCCCATATTGACCTTTAACTAAAATGATTGCTTTGTGATTATGTATTGGCAGATTGGTGAAGGTCAAGTTGTCTTCATGATTCGCCAATGGCGCGTTCTGGTATCAAAAGGTTTGCAAGTTTGTTTGAGACTATCTCATTCTTAATTGCTTATCAAATTAAATAAGTAAATTCTTTTGGTAAGCATTAGGCATTGCTTTTTAAAAAAAATAAATAAAGGAAAAAAAAAACTTAACCAATATATTATATATATATATATGTTTCTGAATGAGCTTAACAAATAACTAGACCATAATAGTGAATTTTCTTGAAATTACAATAAAACAGATTAGTAAAAGACTTGAAAATAAAATTTTTAATTTACCACTTTCTCTATTATTTTCAACCATCAAGCCCGTTTGACACCAAACTAGATCTTTATCGGTATTTCACCGCAAACACTGAAAACTGCACCCACTTCAATGAGTGATAATAAGAACAAAAAAATTACATTTTTGACATCTTAAAATAGCGAACGGGTGTGACAATCGGAATTCTACAGTTGTTTTTGTAAGGATGTGACCTTTGACAACCTATTAGACCCGCAAGCAAAACAAAGTGTGGTAGGTTACTTGAATCAGGTGGTTTCGGAATCGGAAATTGTGGCTCACCTGAATCAGAAGGAAACGGGAATTGTTGTTTACTACCTGAATCAGGTGGGTTTGGAATCTCTGGACCTGTCATGCCGCCATGGAGAGGAGGCAAATCTGTTTGTGATGACCCTATGATGCAAATTATACGCACACAAATTACAAGTCATTTAAAAATTTGTAAAACATATATTCTTGTTAAATAAGCAAATGAAAGACTGTGACTGAGCTAAAATGAGAGAATCCACAATTACAATTCTCAAGTGAAATACACAACATTGGATACTCAATTGAACCACAGTATCTCTATCTCCAAGGGACTAATAATATTGAGACTATTTGGTCAGCCATGGAGCTGAACACGATAGATTAAATTAAATCCAACCTAAAACTCCTAATTGCTAACTTGCGCCACTATGGCGGACCAAGCCTTGGTCTCTGATTCTCAAATCTCGAACAGTTACATTTTGGCGCGAAAATTAAAGCCCTTACCTAAGTTAATGATTCATAATAAAAAATCCTAAACCAATCAAAACGAAATCCAAATTCAGCAATCAAGATTCAAGAAATGAATACCTGAGGAGCAGATCGACTCCAGAGAACCACTCGTGTGGCAAACAGAGGACAGCGAACGGAGTCTGGTTTCGTTCAGTGGAAAGCCGAAGATGAGCGGCTGCCGGAGAGGTTCACAGAGGCATTCACCGTGGCCAGAATTGAAGGCCGAGTTTACTGCGTCACAGCACTGAGACGGAACAGTTTCCGCCATATTATTGGGCGGCGCGGACACGTATTGCAAACATGGCGAGAACGCTACCAGCACGGGGGAGCATCCATCAGGCAGCGGCAGTTGTACTGACGTGGCAACGAAGAGCGTGAAGGTGAGGAGGCGGAGGACAGCTGTTACGGCGGTCATGATTTTTCTTGGACTTGAGAGAGAGATGTTTCTGGTTTTAGTTAGTTGGTGTGGTGAGGACGGTTAATGGTTGTTATATAGTGGCGAGAATTGGCGCCACTGTCTAGAAGTTGAAACGAGTTGTTTTACGTATTTGCCCTTGGGTTTTATTTTTTAACACATGAAATTTTGATACTGTGGGCAGATCATAGGCTGAGGTGGCATTTTTCTTGAGATGATTTATCTGACATGACACGGATGCGACACGGAACAAGTAGGTTAATGTTGATTTTAAATGGGCGCATATGATTATATTACAAACTTGTTTAACTCATTTAATAAACCAAATGTGTTATAAAGCTGTATCAATCTATTTAATTATTTAATTTTATATATATATATCTAAATTATTATAAAAAAACTTTTAAAAATAAATGAGATTATTTTCGTTAAAGATTTTTATTGTTATTATTTTTTTTTATGATAGGGGTGTCCGGGCCAACTTATATGCACTTCAACTAATCATTCGGGACTTAAAACTATCGATCGGGTAAGAGCTCCAGTGATTATCCCTATTAGTAACCGAAAAGAGAATCGAATTCATGATCTCTTGAGTAATACACTCAAGAATTCCTATCAAACCACTCGGTCATTCAGATGTAGTTTTTATTATTATTATCGTTGTAGCCTCTAAAGAAAAAAAGGTCAATGTATTAAACAAAATAAGATCTAGATTTTCAAAAGAAAATTGATATGAATTAGAAGAATATTACCCATAATTTATTTTTTCTAATTGGTAATGATATGTAAAATGAAATGTTAAATTGAAATATCAAAGTCATAAATGTGTGTGGTTGAGGAGCTTGAAGGTTTAACAGTAGAAAATTTACAATCATTTTTGTTTTAATAAATGAGTATAGAATAATACAAACTCATATCAATATAGAATTGACTTTCTCATATGATGAAAAGATTATTCTACGATATCATTGATTTTCTATAAGCAATCTTCATAAATAAATATTTTTCACCTCTCCCCTTGTGGCCGGATGACAAACCCTTCAGATACTGAAGTTAACTATACTAAAAAAATCTTACTCATTTGTGAAGTATCTACCATATTTGTACAATGACTTTGATTTATAACCCTCGTAGGGTGCTCCGTGGCAAAGGTATGTTTCAAGCCATCAGAAATTCTTTCTTTCTTCGTTTCTCTCCGGCGATTGTCTCACTACCCCGGTAACCAAATTTTGTGGTTTTTTTGCATAGAATTTAAGGCAATATCAGTCCACTTGCACGGCTGCAGCTTCTTACTGTTCTTGATATATTTGAAAAAGTAGAATGTTTTATTCACATTAACATGAAGAGTGTACAATGCATAAGTAGAGGATTAAGCAAATAAAATACAAACATGAAGAGCCAAGCACAGGAACAAACATTTAAGCATCAATATTTTGTTTTCATTTTCCCCGCTTGACGATTCATTCCCAGCCTTGAACACACTGGATTTGGGAGCAGAACTTTCGGTTGAATGTGGTTGCCTTGGCAGGGTTGAACTGTTATCGACTGTTCTTGGGTTCAAGGGAAGATGCATCTCGTGTGGAGGCGGAGGTAGAAGCACATTTTTAGGGGGAAAAGAAGGCTGTGTCCGCTCCTTGGGGCTAGCTGGTGGAAGCACTATTGGCATTGGAGCTAGAACTTCAAGTGAAAATTGCAGAAAATTCCTATTAGTATATAGTATATTCAAGAAGGGGAAAATGAGGGGTTAAATTTCAGCATTACCTCGACATAGAGTCAAAGGAGGCACAGAGATGAAGCAATTTGAAAATGGCAATAAAATTGGAGCGTTTAAAAGAGGAATATTGGATGATGCCAACACCGAGCACAAACAGCTATACCCGGCTTGGACAACTTGAGTAAGGGGTTTGCAGCAAATTTCAATGGAAGATTTATTGCCTTGATTCAAGCATTGTAGCAGATTGATACCCTCAATAGGGCACCCTGGAATTTGGCTGTTGATCTTTGGGATTAAAGCACAGAGCTCCAAGACTAGAATACAAGCAAGTTTGGTTGAATCTACTCCCTTTAATTTCATGATGCAAATGTAAATTGACTTAATAATCACTGCAGATATATATCTGCCTTGTGCAATAGGGGTGCGTTTGGCATGTTTTAGAGCATTCACAAATCTTTCCTACAACGCCCTTATAATTCTTTCTTCTTCTTTAAACTTATTTTTGATAGGCATCTTTTCTAGGGATAATAATCAGCAACAGCAATTCCTCAAATCTACAAGAACCTTTTCTCTTTTCTTCTGGTGATTTCAGTAACAGTGTTACATTTTCATGTCTCAAGAGTCCTCAAAAACATCATAAAATACTTATTTTCCAAATTGAACTTAAAGGGTAATATTAATGTTGAAAAACAATAAAGAAAAGAAAAAGCATGATTAAGGGTTGGTGGATTGGGATCAGTCATGCAGATTGAGAGAAGTCATGAACTGTGAAGGTACAATCAACAACAATTTCTTAACAGATTAGGAGGCTTCAATTTGATGACTGGGGGCATGAGTATGGAATGAAATGGAAAGGGTTGAATCTTCATGAGCCCATTTCTAGTCATGTAATGAGTTTGTTCTAGAATTTTGGTCCTGAATTAAATTATTTATGAAATAATATTACACGTACAAATATCGTATACAAGAATTTGCAAAAAAGTCGATAATATTTGGCGTATTATATTGATATTGATTGACCAAAGTTCAATAGTCTAACCATTACTCAAAAAATTACTTGAGGTGCGTGCACGTTGACACTCCCATGATAAAAAAAAAAAAAAAAAGTTCAATAGTCTAATAACAATTTTATCTGCAAAATCATAACTAATGGCCAAGGTGAACAATTAAAAAACCATTTATAAAGAATTCCGAGATCTTATTAGGAATCCATAATCTGTCACAAACAGTAAAAAAGCTTCTTCATATATAAAATAAATAGATAACTATTTCAGATCATACTTACAAGCAATGTAACAAAACTACAAGCATATTTAATAAATAATCACTCAATATGGAATTTGAGCTAGCCCAAACAATAATCACACACCAAAAGAATATTTCTCAATGTTTTAAGTACATAAAAGGAGCTGCAAAGGCAGAGACCTAGTAGTACTTCATAATTAAAAATCCTACTGCAAATAGCAGAAGAGATGGTGAGAAATTATAGGAGGGCATGGCAGCTGATGGTGGAGTCAGAACAGGACGGCTCCCCGGAGTCACAGTGGGGGCTGTAGGATCCACATCTGTCGATGGTGGAGTTAATGTTGGTGTTGTGTCTGATTCTGGTGCTGTAGCAGATGGTGTAGGCTCAGGAACAACAGTACCTGCAGAGACAAATCAATACTTTTAATATAAATAAAAAGGAAACTTCAGAAACACTAAACACTCAAAAGGGTAAATTAATTGTGCCAAGGAAAAGCCATAGCTGTGATTATTGTACTTAAAGAGGTAGAAGTTTACCTGTTGGACTTGCAGATGGTGGTGCTCCAAATGAGGAAGGACCTGCAAATTAGTAACCAAAATGAATAAGCCTATTTGATTCACCAAGACAATTTTTAATTTGCAGAACATTTTGATTATGTGGTCTTTTATAAGTATCAAAATGAATTATAGAAGATACCTGGAGCAGGAATAGGTGCACCAGTGGCTGCAAGCAAAGAAAAATTTACATTAGCATTTTGTTGGTATTAAAAAGGGGTCTAAAAATAAACCTTTGAACTCAATTAATATGTAAGAAAATTACATTTGCATTGAAGAGGGACACCAGGCATGTTACAAGCTCGGGGGAGAGAGATGGCCAAGGTTCGGTTGATGGGTAGCTGGAGTGGGATATTTCCTGTTACAATGAGGCAGGTACAGTCCATGCTATTACTTGTAAGCGACTTGAGTGCATTGCAACAATCGGCAGTCGGCGAAGTACCATTGGTGGTACTATTCGTCAGGAAATTCATACAAGGGCTGAAGCTAGAAATCAGTGAAGCCGTGCAGGGCGTAGCCACCTGCCCATAAACAGGCAAGATGAGGACCACAAAAGCTAAGCCCAGAAATGGAAGTGAGCGTTGGAAGGACAAGGAGAACTCCATGATTACTTTATGTGGAATGTAAAAGGATGTCGAAAAGAAGTAAAGTGATTTGATTGTTGGAGTTGTGGTGATTGGAAAAGAGAAGAATGAAGGAATTTATAGATGAAAGAGTTTAGGTTGGAGAGGGTGGAGGGAAACATAGGTGGATTTCAAGTTGGTCTGGAGCTCAACTACCTTAACTAATTTTGTGACAAAGGAGGTTGAGCAGTTAGCCATGTGGCTGAGCTTCGGGACCCCGTATTGACCTTTAACTAAAATGATTGCTGTGTGATTATGTGATTGGCAGATTGGTGAAGGTCAAAAGGTTCTTGATGATTCAGCCAATGGCGGCGTTCTGGTATCAAAAGGTTTGCAAGTTTGTTTAGAACTAATCTCATTCTTAATTGCTTATCAAATTAAATAAGTAAATCTTTTGGTAAAGCATTAGGCATTGCTTTAAAAAAAATAAAATAAAGGAAAAAAAAAAACTTAACCAAAATATATATTATAATAATATGTTTGAATGAGCTTAACAAAATAACTAGACCATAATTAGTGAAATTTTCTTGAAATTACAATAAAACAGATTAGAAAAGAACTTGAAAATAAAAATTTTTAATTTACCACTTTCTCTATTATTTTCAACCATCAAGCCCAGTTTGACACCAAACTAGATCGTTATCGGTATTTCACCGCAAACAACTGAAACTGCACCCACTTCAATGGTGATAAATAAAGATACAAAATAAATTACATTTTTGACATCTTAAATAGCGAACGGGTGTGACAATCGGAATTCTACAGTTGATTTTTGTAAGGATGTGACCATTGACAACTATTAGACCCGCAAGCAAAAACAGAGAAGGAAGGATGAACGTAAAGTCCTTGATATCGATGTGGTGCTAACCGTAAGCACTCTGATGCTCAAATCAGCATGATTGAAAGAGACTTAAGTAAGCATGAAGAATGATTAACTCATAGAATGGGTTGGCCGTAGAGCGGACTAACTTATAGAATGAGCACCTTGTAGAGTGGACCTTCTAGGAGATGAGTTTTGATGTAGAGCCAACCGTTTGTGGGCCATGGTGTACAGCCAATTGCAATTGGGTCTGATTTGGGCCTGATCTAAGCCCAAAAACGGATTTTGCCCATACAGCAGGGAATGAAGAAATAGGTGGAGTCCTGAGAACACACTATAATATTAATTCAAGGATATATCATTAGGATACAACTTTTCAACTTTATCAATGAGAGGATAGAAATTATAATTTGTTCAATTAGGGGACACCTAAGGCCATTAACTTTAACGAAAAAGATGAAATGACTTAGATGCCTTGATTTTTGTTTAAAGTGAATTTAGTCCTTAAAACCTAAATTTTAAAAATTCCAAAAAACTAAAAAAAAAAAAACCAATTTTTTTTCAAAGGAAATGAAAAAAAAAAAAAGATTAAGAAATTTAAAACTAAAAGAAAATTTAATAAAAAAATATATATTATTTTGTAAAACGGATAATTTAATTTTTTATTTTAGTTTTTTAATTTGATGATTATTTATTTGTGAAAAAGGATAATTTAATTTGTTCAGTTGCATCTTTACCCTTATATAAAGTTAATCTAACCCTAAGTAATGTTCATTGTCCCTTAATTGAATAATTTATAATTTCTGTCCTCCTATGATAAAATCTGAAAAGTTTGTACCCTAAAAGAAATATCTCTTTATTCACTTAGACTTACAGATCTTAGACTTGTATTCACTTTAGATCTTATAATGCCAATAAAGCTTGTTTGATAGAGTTACCTTTATTTTGCCACCTTAGTTTTGCCGAATCAGTAGATGGTACCCCTTGAATGCCCAAACTGCAAATACACACCCAAAAGCAACCCCATTTCCAACTTATCTAAGACCTAGATACCCTTGACCATTTAAGTAATTACTAAAAAGGTTTGACTCTTTGACTTTAGGGTTAAATTTTTGGACGTGGCAAACGGTAGGTTTAAGGTTTCAATGAAGGGATATTGACCGTTATGCTTCTATCATCACCTTTTTTTAACAGAGCCTGCGAATCTGGTGTTTTATGAGAACTCGATTTCCATTAACAGAGTTGCATTTTTTTGTGTATATTGTAGTTTAGACATTTAAAGTGTACCAACTTGTGTATTCGGCAAAGCTAGGGCCGGAAAATGTAAATAACTTTTGAATATTTGCTAAACCCATTAAAGTATCACCCTCACCTTGCCAATTAGAAGGTGAGTCCTCACAAGACTGAACCCATACGACAGACATTTCGTTATTCTAGTTATATAGATATATTAATTTAAGAGAGAAAATCAAAATGAGGATACATGTTTATAAAAACAATTAAAACAGTACACAGGTTTTCAGAAAGAAAAAAAAAATTACTGTATAAAACGTCTAATTTAATTTTATAAAGGTTCTCATTTTTTTGTTAATTAAATGATCTAATACAGTTAACTGTCTTTTTTTTTTTTTTTTTTTTTTTTGTCTTTAAGAAACTTGTTTTACAAATATATGTCTTCATTTTGATTTTCTTACCTAGGCACCATTTATAACAAAGAAATTATAAACAAATGTTAATTTATGAGATAATATGGTAAGAGTATTCTAGGAACAGCTCATGCAAGCTTTAGTTACAAAGAAGCTGCACAGATTGAAGAATTTTTGGCTAGGTTTCGGATATCAGCGAAATGCCAATGATGTTGATAACGCGATAGCAAGCTTCTATCCCCACGAGAATGATTTAACTATGTATGAGCCAAAAATCATATTGGACGATTATCAGGCCCAATAACATACACAAGTTTCAAAGTGAGGTAATTCGTTGAGATGAATGAGTGAAATTGATTCCGGCATACATGAGGCCAAAGATGCCTAAACTTGTCTTTGCTTTAGTTCAATCTCGAATGAAATTTGATCACAAAGGAGAGGAGATTCTACCAATGAAATTTGGTTCCACCCTAAGGAAACTCACACTAATCCGAGATCTCCACTTGCCTAAACAGGCCAGAGAAGAGAAACAATGGCATCCGTTCACATCTCCTCTCCAATGTTTGACAGGAATGAAAAACAAGTAATTCTTAAATTGCTTATATGAAGTTAGGTTACTGACTGCCCTGTCCAAAACATACAAAGGTCAATCTCCAATCCCAGGTGCTCGCCGCATAAACTTGCACCAGCATGCATGCCTTTGAAGCGATAGGATAATTTATTTATTTATTTATTTTAAATCTTGCCTATCTACTATTGGTATTTTTATTTAAAATTTTCTTTTAAATTTAGTTTATAGAGTAAACAATTTTTTTCCCAACCCAAGGTTTGCCTCAATGACCATTTCCACCCAAAAAGTTTCAAAATACCACTTCCTCATCCAAAGTTTATATTCTGTTACTACTCAAAATACACTTTGCTTTTTCAGTCGGCGTTCGGCGAGTTACCATAAGCCAAGGTAAGAGGGGTTTTGTAGAGTGGAGGCCTGTGGATCAAATGGTGGTGACCGATTGAATATTCGCCGTCGAAATCAGTTGAAAATCAGCTAAGAATAAGAAACCCTAGCTTTAAGCTGGACGACAATTGACTAGAAATCAAGTGCCAGAATTAGAGGAGCTTTGTAGAGAGGAGATCAGAGGTTCAAATGGTGATGACGGAGAGAAATTTCACCGTTGGAATTGACCAGAATCAGCTTTAAGTAGTAATGGAATATTAATTTTGGGTGAGAAAGTGGTATTTTGAAACTTTTTGGGTCGAAAAATGCCATTAAGGAAAACCTTGGGTGGGAAAAAGTCGTTTACTCTAGTTTATATTCATATATGAAATTTATGAACTGCATTTTAAGAGTCTTAGAACATTAAATGTCCCTCTTCTTTCCAATAGAAATGACTTTTTTTATATAGTTTAAAAATAAAAGTCCTATGAACCATTAAATCTCTATTATATATTACAAATCTTACCTCATAGGGCCTGTTATTGTTCACCAAATAAGCCTCAATTGGCAAGGTCTTCATTCCATATAAATATCATCAATCGCCCTAGCGAAAATTCCAGCTCAGAAACTGCAATATTTTCGAACATTGCATGGCTTCAACAGGGATGGGTTTATTGATGGTCCTAGTGACCCTGTTCTCATTCTGGGCAGCTACCAGGGCTCAATCGGATTGCACCAATGTGATAATCACCCTCGCCCCGTGCCTCAATTATGTGAGCGGCAGCTCTTCCACCCCATCCCCTTCTTGCTGCTCACAACTAGCTAGCGTTGTCAAGTCTAACCCCCGGTGCCTTTGCACCGTGCTGAACGGCGGCGGCTCGTCATTTGGTGTTTCAATCAATGAGACGCTGGCTCTAGCGCTCCCTGGTGCTTGCAATGTGGAAACTCCACCTGTTAGCCGATGCAATGGTAAGAGTAAATGTGCACATCACAAAATGTTAGTTAACATTAGGCTGTTTAATTTAGTGTTTGATGCTTTAATTTTGGGCAGCTGCTGCTGACGGACCTCTAACGTCTTCTTTTGTTTCTCCAGAGGGTTCCCCGGAAACTTCCCCGAGTGATACTACTTCAGGTAATTAGATAAACTTCACTTAAAAACTCACTCCATTATAAGTAGCAAGAAATTATAATTTAAAATGTCGTTGTGTGAATTGGATGCAGGAACCGGCTCGAAAGTAGTTCCATCAAATGCTGTGAGTGGGAGTGCTTCCAATACTGAGATCATAAACACGCCCCGTCGACTTGTGCTCATCTTAGCTGTGTTTATGGTTCCATTCGCATTAACAGCGAGCAGTTTCTGAGTTCCCTCTGAGCTCATAATACTATTTAAAATTTGTCAGTTTCTGAGTTCCCATAGCTGCACTGTACGTCAGCTCTCTGGTTAAAGTCTGTGTGGTTTGCTTAATATATAAGTTATGAGTGAGATTTTACAAGCTTCCCTTTGGTGTGTGTTATGGGATGTAAGACTTGTTTCAATCTATTATTAATAAATAATCATAACTATTTTAGTTAAGGGTGATCTTCCATATTACACGATCTATATATCAAATCCACCGAAGTTCATGTTGGAACAAATTGCTTAAAATATGACTATTCAGCGCTTTGTTGGTGCTCAGAAAATGGCACTCAGAAAACTTATTAAGGTTCAGAAGATTCGATGAAGTGTTTGATGCTGTTTAATCAACTAATTTCAATTCACATTATAGAAATAAAATAAATGAAGATTGGGACTCGTGAATGTAAACATGCCCTTTAAATTCATTGAAATTTCTTGGGTTTAAAGCAAATAGAGAAAGTGTTTTACAAACTACTTGGCGTTTCGTTTACATAGAAAGACGCAGTAGATAATTCTATTTGGGAGTAAACGACTTTTTCTTATCCAAATAATGGTTTAATGTCAGTTTTTCACTTGTAGATTTTTAAAATATCATTTTATTATCTAAATTTATATTTCGTTTTTGATTTCGGCATCGTTGTGATCCTACACCACTGCCATTCTCTTCTCTCATAGTGACCCCTCAAACCTTACTCACCACGCTAACTATGTCAATCAGTAGCAATCGAGCGATTAAGGTTTGTGCAACCGCCCCTTCTAAATCAAATTCCGATTAATTTTAACCACCAAAATCCAACTTTCTATCACCAAAAGACTTATGAGTCTCCCCTCTTCAAAAGTCCTAACAGTTTGGATCAAGTTTATTCTCTATTCACTGTTAGAATATAAATTTGGATAGTAAAATGGTATTTTAAAAGTTTATAGGTGAGAAAAAGTCGTAAACTCTTTTGTTTGGTAGTTAATAAATATTTTGTCCTGCTTTAGAGATGCAACAAATTAAGGACTAGCCGTCCCAAACCCAATCCACCGTGAGGAAGGCGAGCAAAAAGTACACCTTCCACTAGTTTTATCCATTAATTGTACTAATGAAAATTTGCAGTCCATTACCTTAACAAACAAACATTCGCATATAGTTTCTAAATTGATGAAAATGTTTTAATTTTTCTTAAATTGATCATTAACTTGTATTGATTGTGGGTTCTTAAATTGATCATGAATTTCTATAAGAAAATATTTCGAGTAAAAACATTCTTTTTGGAGAAGCTGTTATGCCTAATTTCCTAACGGTAAGATTCGTGCCATGCGTCTGCAAGGTGTATCAAAGCTTAGCGGTCAGGATCATCCCACGTGTTGTCCCACCAACACTTACCTTCTCTTACAAGGTGATTACTGTCATAAGCATGAGTTAGTCTATCATTAGCATGACTCGGTATGTCACAAGCATGAAGATTATTGACTCAGATCCTAATTAAGGGGATTACGCGTGCAAGCAATCTTGTAATACCCACTCTCAACCACTGTCAGACGAACCAAGTATAAAAAGAGCTTATGGCCTCCGTGTAGGATGATTCTAGTTTTAGTAAAGTTCAAGAGGAAAACACACTCATACATGTAAAAGATCGTTAAGTGAGAGGTCATAAGAGTTAAATGTCCTCCATTTAGCTCGCATTCATTTCCCTTGTAATCTCTCTTGATCTTGTAACACCTCTAAGTAATAACATAACAGTGGATGTATGTTTGGTCTTGATACAGTCAAACCATTATAAAAATCTCTTTCATTTTTAGTTGTTTACGTCGTTTTATCGATCTCGTTGGTTACTAGTAACCACGCACACATCTTATCTGGCTTCTCCCAAGGTCGACTAGATATCTCTTGTTGGTACAAATTTTCACTTCATCGAAGCCTTATGAAACAACAAAATGATTTGATATATTTTTAATATGTTAATCAAACATCATAAATAAATTAGTACACATAATAAGTAAAGTGGGCTAATAATTTTTTTTGTGAAAGATCAGAAGCAGGCATATCTTTCTGAAGAAAGAAGCACAGCATTATTCTCCTTAATTTTCATGGGAATTTCCTGCTTTCTTATTATGAGTTGATTAGTATTTTTAAAAGATAAAATACAAAAGACAGATTCCACAAAAAGCTGGAGTCAGAGACACGTTATGCTTTCTTGTTACAAGTTTTTCTAAGTTAACAACTGGAACCTTCAAAACTCTTCTTGGTTCCAAGTCCTCAGCACAACACAATAAGACCAGTCAATAAACAGAAGTTGGTCACCCAGACAACGTAACCGGCTTCCAAATTTTCCTAATAAGCCACGCAACTAGTTTCCAAAAGTCTCCAGGTTTGAACATACCTCAAGCTCCAATATTTTACAATTGACCTAAGAAAAATATTTGAGAGTAGGAGAAGTTGGTCACCTGCGTAGTTCAATCTGTATTTGTCTTCTCTTACCGTAATCTACCTATATAAACTTCACCCTTCTCTTCTCTCTCCACAAGACTAATTTAACTCCAGAATTTTAAGAAGATCTCCACATTCACAGGCATTTCCGGGTTCAATCGAAAAGAAGGCATAATGGCAAACAGGAGTTTAGAGATGGGTCTGATCCTGGTTCTAGTTACCATGTTCTGGGCAGGGGCCAGAGCTCAGTCAAGTTGTACAAATGTGTTGATCAGCTTGTCGCCGTGTCTCAATTACATAACAGGGAACTCTTCAACCCCTTCTTCTCAATGCTGCACACAGCTTGCTAGTGTTGTCCGATCATCACCTCAGTGCTTGTGTCAGGTTCTTAATGGTGGTGGCTCATCTCTGGGGATTGATGTCAACCAGACTCAGGCTCTAGCTTTGCCCAATGCTTGCAATGTTCAGACTCCACCTACCAGCAGTTGTAATGGTAAGAAAGCAATTGAAAATTTTTCAATAAAAATAAGATGCTTAAAATCTCGTTAATCAAAGATCATTATGTTCTTCCCCTAACAACAACCCCTTGTCTGTTCCAGCCGACGCTCCAGCAGGATCACCAGAATCTTCCAGCACAGTTCCAGGTACTGCCTCACTTCTATATCGTTCTACTAATGTCTTTTCTGATATGTAAATCGAGCACTAAAACAGGACAAAGTTGAGGAAGGAACAGATTTTATTATTTCTTTTTTTTTTTTTTTTTAGTTTCTCAACATAAAAGATCTTACTCTGTACTTTTGGTCTAACAAAACATAATGATATTTATTCGGGTACAGGATCTAAAACTGTACCAGCAACAGAAGGAGGACCCTCATCAGATGGAAGTTCGATCAAGTTGTCATTCTCTCTGCTCGTCTTCCTGCTCTTTGCAGCATCATACAGTTCAATCTTCACGACATACTGATTCCATTACCTCCACAACCAACATACTTTAGTGATTACAATTATTATTGTATTCTTTATTAATATCGAGTTTCCTCTTGGTTGAGGTTTTATGTCATAATTATTTCGCAACCCTCTTCAGGGTTGGTGTCATTTTGTATTACTGAAGAGATTTCTAGATCTCTTCCCCTCTCAATAAAAATATTATTTGGTTGGCTTCAACAGATCAAGCATTTGTTAACATATATCGCTTCAAGGTCAAACAAGAACCAGTCAGCAAAAGGACAACAATATTAATATATAGCATTACGGTTCGTTACCGAACAGATACACCAAACAAAAAAAAAAAAAAAAAAATTACTATCAAATGTTATTTTTTATCATAAACTTGCATCAAAAGAATATATAGAGAATCAACATTGTGCTGTACAATCTCTGACCCAATACAGGATCCATTCAAATAGGATGACATTCAACAGATGAAGAACAGTATTCCGGGAACCCTGCCCTTGGCATCCTTCACATTCTTCAGAACGACCACACATGTTCATAACTATCCTGGAAGATGTAATAAACATAACACTCATATGGTGTAAATTTAAAATTGAAATTTCTAGATTTACAGTCATATGTGCATGGGGAGCAAGTTAAAAACTGAAATTGGATTAAAAAAAAATAATAATAAAAAAAAAAAATTGAACTTCTGAGTTCTGACTATAACATGGTGATGAACCAATTGAAAGCTAACAAAAATAGGGAATTTAATTTACTAGAACAAGTTATGAAAGATGCAAAGCAATAATAATAGAACAAAAAATTTAACAGTACGATAACTCACCCTTAATACATAGGTTTACTGTATGATAGATTATCCAACATCTTGATTTACACAGGAGTCCTACAATGTATTTGCAGAATTAAGTCAGCAAAGAAATGTCTGATCCACATCAAAAAGTCACAAAAAGGATTGTATATTATTTGGTTCGCAAGAAAGTTAACTTCTTGTAAGCCAGGATTGTGCTCCACTATCAACTGTAGTGAAATGTTGTCTACAATCATTAACCTAAGTCCAACAAGGAAGTAGCTCCGAAGAAGGAGATTAAAATAAGTTTAGCTACAGCTACTGGCAAATATTCTACTCAATTTAGCAGCATAGTAGATCTGGTTTACACTGTTACACGGCGGCACCAAAAATTAATCAAAATCTTGGTTCATTTCTGATAAATCCTCCCTAATCGAACAATTAACCACTTGATCAGTCAGTAAAAAGACAACAGGATCAGAAATAGTCTGAATGTTTTCTGCTAACTAATCAGTAGAGCACAGTAAGGGACTGAGTAGTGATGACTTCTGGTTTAGACTGCTGCAAGCAAGATTTCGTTTCGGTTAACCCAGGATTCACTGTCAAATCAAGAGTGATCCGCCATTCAGCCAGTTTGGGCCATGGAGCAAAACTGTGGCTGAATCTGGGATACTATGATTTGTATGACGAGGACTTAAATTTTTCTGAATCATTTAACATTCTTAATCTGCTTGTACAGGAAGAAGGAACTCAACTCTCGAAAAGCAGCTTCATCCCCACTTTTAGGTGTCGACTCCATGGGCTCCATTTCAAAAATCCAGTGAATTAAAGTAAAGCAGAAATTATCACACCCCAGCAAATAACTTGCCAACTTTAGTTACATTTTCCATTAAATCCATGGGAATATACACAGCTACATAAGGTATTCTAGTGATGAAAAAACCAAACAGTCAACCAGGGCTTTGTTTTAGCATAGTCTTTTAGGTGTTTGAACTTCCACCTTTGATTCTGAACATAAATTCTTTTGATTAAGAATCAGCTGCAACAAACTGACTACCAAGCTACACATTAACTCTTCAAAACAAGCTTATCATATTTTGTTCCTAAACAAAAACCCTATTCACAGGATAAACAAGACAAAATTTTGTTGAAAATATATGAACCGTTTCTTAAGTGATTTATGCTTTAATAATAGTATGTGCACTAACCATTTTGTACTAATCCAAGTATTAACATTGAAAATTAAAAAATTTTTTTTTTTTTGGGAGGAATTTCAAATTTTCAATGTTAGTACTTGGATTAGTACAAATAGTTAGTGCACATAACATTGCCCTTTATGCTTTGACTAAAAAGAGATGGGGAGAAACTGTAGAACCATTTATAACCTCAAAGGCTCAACTCACTAAAAGTTGAACAGAGTTGAAAGCCTCTTATAAGCCAAGCCAAAGTTGCTCTTATTTTCACATCCAACCACATAATAGCATTGATCTTACATATGTTCCAGTCCTAATCTCATCACCTTCTCAGCGATCAAACTGGCGAAAAAATAAAGTAAGTGTATAACAAGTATTTGTATGATAATAATCCACATTAATTGTAAACGTTTTACCACATAACCTAAAAGAGACTAAAGAGTTAAATTTCTGAAAGATTATAACAAATTTCACAGTTACATCAAAAATGTTGGTCACAACTAAGAGACTTTATAGAAGCATACATACAAATATTCTCTCAAACTCTGCACTCTTTAGGAATGAGACCGTGACCGAACAAATTCTTCTAGTCTGTCCCACACCTCTAAAGCCGCAGCTCTGTCTTGGTGTCGCTTGTTCTTGCTAATCTGCACATTTGAGGCATATTTTAACCAGTGCTAGCAAATAATATAACTTGACAAGACACATGAACTCAGTTCTACCCAAGAATACAAACTTTATCACACTACAACAACAATAATTATGCAGCTTAATGGGAAAAATTTACTCACAGAAATAATTTTTTGCATTTATCTTCTCATAGTGACCCCTCAAACCTACTCACCACGCTAACTATGTCAATCAGTAGCAATCGAGCGATTAAGGTTGTGCAACCGCCCCTTCTAAATCAAATTCCGATTAATTTAACCACCAAAATCCAACTTTCTATCACCAAAAGACTTATGAGTCTCCCCTCTTCAAAAGTCCTAACAGTTTGGATCAAGTTTATTCTCTATCACTGTTAGAATATAAATTTGGATAGTAAAATGTATTTTAAAAGTTATAGGTGAGAAAAAGTCGTAAACTCTTTTGTTTGGTAGTTATAAATATTTTGTCCTGTTTAGAGATGCAACAAATTAAGGACTAGCCGTCCCAAACCCAATCCGTGAGGAAGGCGAGCAAAAAGTACACCTTCCACTAGTTTATCCATAATTGTACTAATGAAAATTTGCAGTCCATTACCTTAACAAACAAACATTCATATAGTTTCTAAATTGATGAAATGTTTTAATTTTTTTAAATTGATCATTAACTTGTATTGATTGTGGGTTCTTAAATTGATCATGAATTTTATAAGAAAATATTTCGAGTAAAAACATTCTTTTTGGAGAAGCTGTTATGCTAATTTCCTAACGGTAAGATTCGTGCCATCGTCTGCAAGGTGTATCAAAGCTTAGCGGTCAGGATCATCCACGTGTTGTCCCACAACACTTACCTTCTCTTACAAGGTGATTACTGTCATAAGCATGAGTTAGTCTATCATTAGCATGACTCGGTATGTCACAAGCATGAAGATTATTGACTCAGATCCTAATTAAGGGGATTACGCGTGCAAGAATTTGTAATACCCACTCTCAACCACTGTCAGACGAACCAAGTATAAAAAGATTATGGCCTCCGTGTAGGATGATTCTAGTTTTAGTAAAGTTCAAGGAGAAACACACTCATACATGTAAAAGATCGTTAAGTGAGAGGTCATAGAGTTAAATGTCCTCCATTTAGCTCGCATTCATTTCCCTTGTATCTCTCTTGATCTTGTAACACCTCTAAGTAATAACATAACAGTGGATGTATGTTTGGTCTTGATACAGTCAAACCATATAAAAATCTCTTTCATTTTTAGTTGTTTACGTGTTTATCGATTCGTTGGTTACTAGTAACCACGCACAACATCTTATCTGGCTTCTCCCAAGGTCGACTGATACTCTTGTTGGTAAAATTTTCACTTCATCGAAGCCTTATGAAACAACAAAATGATTTGATATATTTAATAGTTAATCAAACATCATAAATAATAGTACACATAATAAGTAAAGTGGGCTAATAATTTTTTTGTGAAAGATCAGAAGCAGGCATATCTTTCTGAAGAAAGAAGCACAGCATTATTCTCCTTAATTTTCATGGGAATTTCCTGCTTTCTTATTATGAGTTGATTAGATTTTTAAAAGATAAAATACAAAAGACAGATTCCACAAAAAGCTGGAGTCAGAGACACGTTATGCTTTCTTGTTACAAGTTTTTCTAAGTTAACAACTGGAACCTTCAAACTCTTCTGTGTTCCAAGTCCTCAGACACACACAATAAGACCAGTCAATAAACAGAAGTGGTCACCAGAAACCCACGTAACCGGCTTCCAAATTTTCCTAATAAGCCACGCAACTAGTTTCCAAAAGTCTCCAGGTTTGATAAACCTCAAGCTCCAATATTTTACAATTGACCTAAGAAAAATATTTGAGAGTAGGAGAAGTTGGTCACTGCGGTTCAATCTGTATTTGTCTTCTCTTACCGTAATCTACCTATATAAACTTCACCCTTCTCTTCTCTTCCACAAGACTAATTTAACTCCAGAATTTTAAGAAGATCTCCACATTCACAGGATTTCCGGTTCAATCGAAAAGAAGGCATAATGGCAAACAGGAGTTTAGAGATGGGTTGATCCTGGTTCTAGTTACCATGTTCTGGGCAGGGGCCAGAGCTAGTAAGTTGTACAAATGTGTTGATCAGCTTGTCGCCGTGTCTCAATTCATAACAGGGAACTCTTCAACCCCTTCTTCTCAATGCTGACACACCTTGCTAGTGTTGTCCGATCAATCACCTCAGTGCTTGTGTCAGGTTCTTAATGGTGGTGGCTCATCTCTGGGATTGATGTCAACCAGACTCAGGCTCTAGCTTTGCCCAATGCTTGAATGTTCAGACTCCACCTCCAGCAGTTGTAATGGTAAGAAAGCAATTGAAATTTTTTAATAAAAATAAGATGCTTAAAATCTCGGTAATCAAAGATCATTATGTTCTTCCCCTAACAACAACCCCTTGTCTGTTCCAGCCGACGCTCCAGCAGGATCACCAGAACTTCCAGCACAGTTCCAGGTAACTGCCTCACTTCTATATCGTTCTACTAATGTCTTTTCTGATATGTAATCGAGCACTAAAACAGGACAAAGTGAGGA